AAGATCAATTTTCATAGACATTTGAGGGAAGAACTTAGATAAAATATTTTGACACGTAATTTTAATATTAAAAAAAAAAAATCCATTCAGTGTTTTCTTTTATTGAAAATTAATATTTGTGTTTTTCTTACAGGTCCATAATCACAAAACAGTGGGCAACGTAAGTGTGAATTTTACTTGAAATATAAGTTTTACAATATGTTGATAAATAAAATTAAATTTTAAAGAAAAATGCCATAAAATACCGTACTTGTGTTCATGAGATGGAATTTGAATACATATAATAAATATTAGAATAACGTATATATTTTATTCTTATGTTATAAAATAACATAGAATAAACATAGTTTTAATTTACACATTACGTGTAATGTTTATAAATCTATTTCACTTCAGTTTAAGTCTCAGGTAAAGTGTAACGCACCAGAGTAGAGTGTTCAGACCCGTCAATGATTATTCCCGGTACAGACCGTAAAAACGATATTGAAATGGCACGGTTAAACTGACCAAGTATTCAGATCAGTATTAATCGTGGTTCTTGTAGGTGTGAAACAGCTTTGTTTGTCTATAAAAGAAACATGATGAGAGATGAGATGACAGAAACATGAATGTTATGAAACCTTTATAATTTTTTAAAGTAGGTAATGAACATATACTTGGTTCTCTTATCAACGCTCACAGGAGCGTGAGTAGTATTTGCGTTTTTTTCTTTACGTCGTACATAAATAATGTATCTTATATTTAATTATATTTTGCATTATGATATATAAAAAATTCTGCATTCACAATTACATTCTGATAAATACCCAAAATAACTTTAAAGAAAATACTTAACATCGAGTATACTCGAGTCCCATCTCAAGGCACCTGGAATGGTAGACTCTTTTAGGTATTTCCATTAAAGCTATATAGGGTTTTCAATTATATATTGTTGTTAAATATTAATGAAAAGTGCGAGTCGGACTCGCGTTTAATAGGTTCGGTACCATTATGTAGGAAGAACGCAAAAAATCGTGGTTGTTGTTTAGAAGCATTTAGAGTTGTATCGAAGGGGTTTAATATTTATTTTATTCTGTTAGTATATGTTGTTACAGCGGCAACAGAAATATATCATATGGGAAAATTTTAACTGTTTAGTTATCACGGTATCAAACCCCCAAGATTAAAGCTTCTTTAACTGGTTTCTTAAATTTCTTATATAATGTCTTGACCACAGTAACGACATTTTAGATATTACTCAATGAGCCAAGATAATTTATACTCCCCATGATTTACTATTATTTTAATCGTCGTCTTTACTATTATTTTAAGAGTCGTGTCTCGGGGTACCCGGAGTGGCGGACTTTTTAGTATTCTCATTAAAGCGTACTTTAATTAAATAATATGAACTATTAATAATTATAATTAAAACAAAACCATTCAGTGTTTTTTTAATTAAAAATTATTATTTCTGCTTTTTTACTGATCAGTAAGCGCAATAGATTGGACGATATAAGTGTGGATTTTTATTGAAATATAATTTTTACAATATGTTGATAATTGAAGTTACATTTTAAAGAAATATGCCATAAAATTTACCGTTCTTATGTGCCTGAGATGGGATTTGAATCCATAAAATAAATATTAGAATAATGTAACATATATTGGACTTATATTTTTAAATAACACAGAAAAACATAGTTTTAATTTACATATTAAATATAATGTTTATAAATCTATTTCACTTTAGGTCAAGTCTCAGGTAAGGCGTAACGCACCAGAACAGAATGTTCAGACCAACTACAAACAACTCGATGAACTGTCCACCATTATCAACGAGCCATCAATACTTATCCCCGGTATAGATCGTAATAACGATGTTAAAACATATGTCGTTATGAAGGTAAGCGTTATTTGTGTTACTATTTAAGCTATATATCCTATAGACAATGCAATAGGTGGGATGTACAAGTGTACGGCGATTGGAAGTGTTACGGTTGATCAGCATTGATCGTGGTTCTTGTAGATGTGAAACAGCTTTGCTATTCTAAAGAAAAAACAGTATAGATGTTTAATGCAATAAAGCCTTTTTAATGTTTTGAATTAGGTAAGTACCATAAAAGATAATAAAGTTTTCGTATACAGTGTATATACCTATGGTTTCATAGCATTATATGAGTATAAAGTATATTCTTATTAATCATATTAGAATTAATATAAAAATGAAGTTAGGTTATATTGCAATATTTTACGCTGACCATTATATAAGAAAACGCACTATCAATATATTGTTTTAAAAAAAAATTGAAATACTTAAAGAAAGGAAAGAAGAGGACAAGGAATAACTGATTTCAATAAAACTTAAGTTTACAAAATTTAAGTTAAATAATTTAGTGACGTCCAGTAACCAAAATATATGTGTATTTCTTTTACAGGTTAACGAAGGTAAATGATGTTCAGTCCATGTGGTGTCACCTCTACTTGAGACAAGTTCACAACATGTACAAGACTGGTTATTTATATACTAAATATAATATATTCTTACTGAAATATAGATTGTTCTTTCAAATTCTAAGTATTACTTCTAGTACTTTTGTGTACCCACTATAAAATCTTCAACAATTTATAATTTACTGGCTGTTCTTGCGACTTTGCCCCATATTTTTATACCAATAAGTGATAAGGATGGTCCATCCTAAATTTATAAAACAACGGGACAGCTAGTATTACATAGAGGATACGTTTGATTGTTTTTTGCATTAAATAATATGGAAAACAACTTGGTCGATTTAAAAAAAAAACACTAACAGGAAGTTAAATCATACACGAGTGACATAGACTATAATTTACGAGGGCGAAATCGCGGGAAATAAGGTCATAAATTGAGATCACGATTCTCATTAATAATACAAACCGTTCTAAACTAGGATTTAAAAAATAAATAAAATGAATAGAAATGACGTAATATTTTAAGAGTTCAGTTTGCACTGCATTGGCAACTGAGGTTATTTGTATAACTAACAAATAGCAAGCACTTGCGAAAAGGTTTCTGTGTATCGTTTAAGAGTCGGAAAATATTTACAAATTAAATATGTTTGATATCCGGAAAAACACGATGTTATTACCATGTTTAAAAAAATACATATTTATTTTTAAGAAGTGATTATTACGATTTCAGCTTTAATTAAATAAGAATAATGGCTACATTTTAAATAATGCATATTTATCATAGACTCCACATAAATACAGCCGAGAACTGTTGAGTTTGCCTGATTATTGATGAGAATACGCGCTTGAAAGATTCGTCAGTCCTGTTGTGTCTCATGAGCTCAGAGCAGTCGCACGGATAATGAAAGGTCATGGGCTCGAGGCCCAACTCAGGGTGCTAGGGACCAAGTGGATTTTTAAGCATTTTTCAGTAAGAATATCAATGTCTCTAGTTAAACTTCTTTGATAGTAAGTACTATTTCTCATTACCATTAATTTTATCATAACAAAAATAAATTAACCCTAACGAATATCATCAAATAAAAGGGCATTTAGTTTTATACATTTTAGTCCTATTCTATAGGAATGATGCGCAAAAGGAACTAAGCAGTACAGTTCTTATAAGTATTATATTTTTTTTTTCGCATCCTTGGCATTAATAACTATTTTTAAGAATTTTGTCTTGACCTTCCAGGGCATCTATGTCATTTTTCTTTTCTTTCGTTTAGTTTGACAGGACGAAAATTAAACTAAGTTTAGCTTATGACAACAGAATTGCCACAATTATGCCAATTAGATTTTAGTGACCTTCAATGATCTTTTATCTGAACTAACAAGAAGTCCATCTGTATTTTCATGTACTCTAGTAATTAAAGTACTCTAGATCATTAGAGATGATGAGGATGTCACCCCAATGATCTAAACGACATCGACAATCGATTAGGATATGACATCTTTCTTAAAGGGACTTGGAATGTCATCATCCGAATGAAAAGAATGAAGCGTTGGTTTCCCTGATTATATTTGTTCCAACAGCAAGTGATATACTGTTCATTAAATTAAAATAATTGAATAAATATTATAATTATGACAATGATTTCTTTACTAGCCTTTTAAATTATTTACTAAATATTATTTATTATATTAGTTGAAGGTTAAGCTCATGGAAAAACAGTTATTGTAACTTATGACACAATCTTATTCATAATAAATATTCATCACCAGCCTCTTAATGTGCCCACTGCTGGGGCTCAGGGCTTCCCTATGGATGGAATCGAATCGAATCTGATAGGGAGAATGGGCCATGACCCACCACGCGGGCCTATGCGGAGTTTAACTACTGAAGATGCAGCCGGGACCAACGGCTTAATGTGCCTTCCGAAGCTCGAAGGAGTTCGAGGTAATGAAATTTTGGTCACCCATCCTATGACCGGCCATTGCAAAAGTTGCTGAACAACCGTCTCGCAGACTGAACGCGCTCCTTGATCTGTGAATAATAATTATTTCACAGTTATTTAGTGGGTGATGTAACATAGATTTTCGCTTGAATACTTTAAATTATCAAATAAATAGATTCAAATATAAATTAGAGAATGGGCTGTACGTTAATAATTATCTCATTTTATAAACTAGGTCTATTGTGTGTTAAACTGATAAACAAATACTACAAAAACATAGTACTCGTAATATAGGAGCATTATAAAGATATTCAAACTTACGAATACATATATCTAAATAAATATTTTATTGAAATATAAGTTACTTTTATATATTTACCCGCTATAAATATTATAACATAATGTTTTTTTTACAGGCCAAAACAAAGAATTTTCATACAAACGTTTTCACCCTCTTCAAAATTCTTTGGGGTGGATATAACCACAATTAACTTCTTAAAGTCGGGCGTCCGATACCAACATCATTCGATAGTCTACCAATGAGTGTCATGGGGCGAGACAGGCTAGATGTAACTGTAACCTTAGTAAGGAACACATACGTAATTCTACAAAAGCGGTCGTTTAATGGCCACCTTCAATAGTTGATGTCACCGGTGCACTGGAATCACTGGCCTCACTGTGAATATCGTTGTTAAATGTTTTTACAAAAATGTTGAAAATTGCAACATTTTGCTGTTTCATTTTGTTGATTGTTGAGGTAAGTGTTAAGTGATTTTATAATTATTCGCAAATAATAATAGTTGTTTTCGTGACTTCACTCGCTTGTTTGGTTTATTATTTTTATTACTCTTGGCTTAAATTATTTGTATTGACTAGGAACGTGTTTTTATAATACATATGTACCATTTTGTATGCCATCACCATTAACTTATGCCTGTGTTCATCTATAGATAGACAAAATGTAGAAATCAAAAAAATATATACAAGGAATTAATAAAGTAACTTATAAAATACTGGACAGATTTTTAAAATAAATCACCAGTCGACGACGTACTATGGATGGGTGAACAATAATTTATTAGCTTGAGTTCCTCTGCTTGCTGCGTGTTTTAGGCGGTATGTTAAGCTATCGACCCTCTCTACATCTGCAGTCATTAGAACTCACTAATCTACAGTTGGCGTAGTGAATTATGAACCTATTCGATTTATTAATTAACTGTCTTATGTGAACACGGAACCTATAAAGGGTCCGAGAAGTGTAAAACTAAATAAAAACGGGATGAAACCGTTTAAAAGTTGTTTCATTTATGGATAGTGCGCGAGAAAATATAAGAAATCAATATCTATTCGATTTAATTTGAGCGCCGGTTCCTCAGCAGTGGGCATATTAATAGGCTGATGATGATGATAATACAATATGACAATTTTACCGTAGACAGTTCCTAAAATATATCCTATTATGGCAAAGCTTATACTGTTGTCGGTTGCGATGTTGTTCGATTCTTCCTAACTTATAAAATGGCCAAAATAAGATCATCTGCCTACTTGATTTAAATCATTGGGCACTAAAAGCAAATTCATAATGGCAGAGGAGAAAACGACAATTTGAGAATCTGGTACTAAAGTTATTCATTTATTACATAATAACACGAATGATGTTCTTGCCATTTTTAAAGGTGATTAGATCTATAATTTATTAAATTTCATTATTATTACATTATATTTTTACATTACATTACATTGCTTCTTGTATTAGCAAAGTTATTAAAATTATTTTAGGGAAAATCACCTCAGAGTCTAATAAAGTCAGTTGTTTGTTACACATAATGTCAATATATTGTTAATGATTTGGATATGACATGGTTTTATATAGCAGGAGACTTTCTTACTCTAGTTCTTCTTGGGAACTTCGAAAGGAATGAAGAGGGAAATGGTGGTAGATAAAAATATTGAACGATTTAAAACGGCTAGTTATCCTATATACTTTACAAGAAATTGACCTGATGATTTAGAAAGATATATTGTTAATATCTCTCTCACTCTTCTCACCAGGGAGGCATTGTAAAGCGAGATGTAACTACTAGTCCAAATTTGTTGAACGACCTGCAAACTAATATAGAACAGTTAAGGAATTGCGTCGACCAGAGTCTGGCTTCCGTCGTGAGTAATGTGAATGAGCAGCAGTTGCAGCCTGTATTCAATATAGTAGGTGACACACTGAATCGGGTATCTAAAGCAGTAAGTATAACGGCCTACATTCATTCAAAGTTAGAGAAGAAAGGTAAAAAATGATGAGATTGCTTTGCTGCATGTGTCGCGTGGCATACGACCTCTAGATAGGCTATCTAATTTAGAGATTTTTTGTTGTTGTGATTTTTCAGTAGTCAGGATTTAGTTTCCAAATATTTTTTTATAAGAAATATGTAGTTGTGATTTAATGATGAAATTACAATCTTACTAAAATATTTTCATGTAATAAAGAGCCATGCTTCTAATACTGCCCTAATAACACAATCTTGTGACTTAACGTTTGCTGACGTCAAATAATTAATATTATAAAGAGTAATCATTTTACTGTCTGTTTGTATTTATTAAATTTACTTGTATTAATTATATACTCGTTTTTTTTTAAATTATATATTCTTGTAAATTGTCATATATACAAACGTCATATATAAAATAGTCCTGACAATTTCGAACATATAAAAAAGAATCATTCAATTTGGTGGTGTGGAAGTTATGAGCGATTAATTATACTAGTATAATTAATCGCCAAAATGTACATATATATATTATTAATCTTAACTTATTAATACTAATAATATAAGAATATTATTAATTTAAGCTTTGATCAAATGTGCATAGTTATATTGACTTCAGAACTAAACTAATTATATAAAGAAGAAATCTTTAATTGTTTATAAGCAGCGAACAATCAAAATATCAATAAATATAATAATCCTCCTTTCTTTTGTAGTCACTTAACAATAACCACTGTCTGGAAGTTTAATTATGTTTTGAACAGTAATTTGTCTCGAGTTTAATTGTATTTCAAACTTGAAACATTAAAGTCTGAATTGAAGTAGGCTAGAAATACATCTTAGCAAAACTAGAACAGCGATTTTAAATTGTGAATTCATTCATAGAATAATTTTACCTACTTATATTTATCATTTATCGTGTTTTAATTATTTATGTTCACAGTTTGAAGACTTGACAGCAACAACTAGTGTTCCATTGCAAATCAAGAACTGATTACCCTTTCTGCAATTTGAAGTATCACTCGTGACTATAAACACAACATTATCTGGAATCTGTTAGTTTGCTTTACGATTTGTAACGCTATTCTGTAATAAAACCGGGCTTAAAACATCGCTGTCATACCATAGAGGTTTAATAAAACAAACCCATTAATACCCATTGGTGTAGTTTTTATTTCACGAGCGCTGACAACAACATCGAGTTCAAATCTGCTTCTATTACAGGTTGCATTTATTGTCCAACGGGTATATTTCTAGAAGGCGTTTATTACATCAACAGTTTAATTATTATAATCATAACCTAAATATCAGAAATATAATTATTTTATCAACCTTCAAACGTTTTAATCCCAAAGATAATTTTGATCTCCAATATGTTGATTTCCGTGTACTATTATATAATAGCTAGCTTTCGCCAGCGGCTTCGCCCGCGTGGACCCTAGGGAAATGTTTAGTGGGATAAAAAGTATCGTATTATCTAAGTCAGGTAGTACCCTATCTGTATACCAAATTTCATCAAAATCCGTTCAGTAGTTTCGGCGTGATTGACGTACAAACATCCAAATATCTAAACATCCAAACATAGAAACTTTCACATTTATAATATTAATAGGATATATTCGTTAAATATAATTAAATAACTCTTAAACAAAATATATCATTTCTTAATGCTTGACAATTATGATATGACAATAATTGATGTTTCATTTTTTATTTTACGAAAACAATATGGTTTCTATATTTATACATCGCATATCAAATTTTGGTTTAAAACAATATAAATTGTTAACAATATATAAGTTTAGTAGTAATAACGATTATTATAATGGGAACGTCAAAGATAAGGAAATAATATTATTAATTTTGTTCTAAATTTTAATGAAGTTTGATATGTTACTTGGAACAGTTACTATTTAGATTTTTGTATGATAATGATATCATACTTATATTATATGGATTGAATGTTTTTGCATTGACTGTTTGTGTTAAGTTAATCGATTAAGCGCTATTGACCAGTTTGATTTTCAAATGAATTACTACACTAAAAAAAAAAGTATTTTGTATAAAAAAGTAAATTTTAATAATACGAGTTGCTTTTTTTAGTAATCAACTAAAATATAATAATCTTTAGACCATATATTTTAGAATAATAGAACATTTTGAACTAAAAGATAATAATCTTTTAGTTGATTTCTTCGCGTAGAAATTCTAAAGTATGGTAAATATGGTAGGTATTGATTTGCTTGTGCTTTGGTCTTGCACACATTTCTTATATAATGCAGAATTTTCCAAAAGAAACAGCCCAGATATCTAATTAAATAATACTTAATTATTATCAATTAATTAAATGTCATTCATTAATTAGGTATATTTAATAATATATCTAATTAATAAAATAATATACAAGTTTCCTATCTCATAGATAATTGATATATCTTACAAATATTGTAAACAGGAAATATTTTACTGTTTGTTTGTATGGAACTAAATTACTGGACCGATTTTTAAAAAAAATATCACCTACAGGAAATAACTTAGTCTCAGTACAGGAAAGACTCAGTCATTTCCTTAGACTTAAATTTAGGCGGAGGAAGTCGCAGAAAAGCAGCTAGCTAGTCAGTATTCACAAGATACTCGTGTTATATCAAAATAGACCCACTTAATTATCCATTCAACTTATTACAAAGTAATTGTTTACACGAAACTATAAATTTGTTCAAATTAATTTAGTTTGATAGGTCCTTGAGAGCTTTTGCGTTTGTTCTGATAAGACCCTTCTATAATTTTTTTTTTAATTTTGATTATTATGTTGTGAGAAAATTATGACCGTTCGATGCGAGACGAATAATTCAAATACAAGTATCTCAGTAAACTTAAGAGTGATTCAACTCAGCGTTCCAACCATCTAGCTAGGTGCAATTGCGAAAAAAAATTATATAACTTTCAACGTTTTCAAGGTCACCTCGTTCATTTACAACCAAGAGGAATACACTTTATACGACAGAATAAATGAAGGCAGATCACTAGTTATAAACAAAACATTATAATGTTCTATTAGTTTTAATTGAAACCTACATTTTACTTAATCAACATGTTAATACTACATTGTGGGATGCAATAAAATAAATAAATACTTAATAATCATCATCATTAGTTCTTTTAGGTCCCCACTACAGGACTTCCTTATGGACGGTGAAAGAGGATGGGCAACAACCCTCCACGTTGACCCAATGCGGATTGAAGAGTATAAACGAATGCAAATTCAGCCGCGACCAACGGCTTAACGTGCCTTCTGAAGCACGGAGTAGCTCGGGATAATATTTATTTTGGTAATCTTATTGTCCACGGTGCTTATCCACTAGCCACCAAGCTAGTCACTTAATTATTTAATAATACATTAATGAATTATATAAAAGAGTAGGTCGGTGGCATAGTGGATAAGCGCCGCGGCCCGCGATCGTTGTCGTTAAGGAACTTTCGTAAGGGTCGGTCTCGGGATGGGTGACCAAAAAATTATTATCTCGAGCTTCTCCGTGCTTCGAAAGGCACGTCAAGCCGTTGGTCCCGGCTGCATTTGCAGTCGTTAATACCCTCCAATCTGCATTGGGCCAGCGTGGAGGGTCATGGCCCATCCTCCTTAACCATCCATAAGGAAGGTCTGAGCCTCTGCAGTGGGGACGTAAAAGGGCTGATGATGATGACATTAATTAATTAATTAATAATAGATCTATAAAATATTTTATTATTATGATCAAGTGTGCTGTAGAAACGTGAAATATTATTTTTAACGATGTCTGATAAAAAAAAATAACAGAGATGAATATTTAACTCTATAAAAATAGAAGGTTTGTAGGTTTAAAGAATTTTTGTTTTTTATGGGACTAAATATAAATGAAATAGGGCTTAACACTATTGTTACATTCGTCTATGCCTCATTTTAATTGGTCACTTATGAATACATAATCATTACCTGAAGAGTGACGTCATTAATGTTTATCAGTACACCAGTGAGCGAGTTTTACTATTGTGCGGTATTACAAATAATAGGTTCAATCGAATAAAACGTTCATTATCTTATGAAGTAGGTTTTATTTTATTGAAATTAAGGGTTCAAACAGCACTGTGTACGACACTGTGTTCGACACTGTATTTTTAACACAATAATGCTCTTGTTCTTTTTGTCTTGTCGTTCTTTTCGTCTAAATTAAATTTGTTCTTAAAGGAAACTATTCATTAATTATAATTTAATTAAAATTAGATTTAAAATTAATAACACTAAAGGGCTGAGTATTCGTGTACCTATTATTCGATACTCAGCAGCAAACTTGGTAAATTTTGAACTATTTTAATTTAGTAATAGGATTTAATTAAAATGTAATTTATTTTCTGTGATTGGGCCTGTGTGTGCATTTGCGTATGTGAATTTGCACCTTTTTCACGCACACATTAAAGTTAATGCCATTTTGCACCGAATTACTCGGCGGAATACAGTTTTTACATACACTTGGCTTTTGAATTGGGAGTTTAAAGTTAAGGAAGTCTCAAACTGTACTTAAACAGGTTTTCATTCATCTGATTTTAGTTTTTTTTTGAGCAGTTGATAGCATTTAACAAAGCTAAGATAAGGCTGAAACGCGAAAAAAACTAAGTTGTTAAGAATAATCAGTTGAGATATTGTATTTTTCCAATTCAGAAACCGGCTGTAATTCATACATATCATATTTTGAATTAGTGTTATTGCGTTTAAGTTAACGCTTACATAAAACTGCAGAACAATCCAGCAGAACTATATACATCAATTCTAAGTTTAAATAGGTCAATCAACTCTCATGTGCTTATCAAAGTACTAACTCGGTAGATCACTAGTTAAACTCTTTTGTGTTATTAAAATGAACACCGGAAATGTACCATTAGAAACTTGATGGAGCTAAGAGAGGGACGGGCCACATCAGTCATTAGTTTGCGAAGCGTAGTTTAATTGACTTTCCAGGAAACTTTGACCCGGAGCAGATAAGAATGGCAAACATCGGTCTATGATAAAGACACTTTCCGTCTTCGTGTGTTTAGTGTGAATCTGGCTTCTGAACTGTATACAAGTGACAGCAAAACATCAAAATGAACAAATACTTGATTCTCTTGTTGGTTATCTGCATTGTGAGCGTGAGTATTCATAAATTAATTTTAAAATTTAAGATATGGTTACCATTTATAAATAGAAGTGCTGATAAAATATGTATTAATATATTCTAAAGTAAAATCATTTAATTATAAAATTTGCAACATGAGTAATGCAAAGTACCAACCTCATTCCTATTACTTTATTTCATTAAAAAACCGCTAGCTTCGGGTAAAATTATATTAAAAATCAAATAAGAATATTTGCCAGTGGATTAAATATTTTGAAATACATTTTCAGAATGACTTTTAATTAATTTAAATTCAGTACAATTTCATTGAATTATCGTAATTCGGGATGCTATATACAAGTATACTATTTGGCGACCCTGGTATTGCTTAAGCTGTTAGATTAAATAAATTTGTAAAATATAGTTTATCAATTTTTTCCCGACTAAACCGAAGCGAAAAGGATGGTTATGATTTTGGTCGGTACGTATGTAAGAATGTTTATCTGTACCCTTATAACTTCGAAACTACTCATCGTAACTGGTCAAATGAGGCTATGTAATGTTACAATAAACTGGCAATAGAACCCTCTCGAGATTGTAAAGTCAGAAACTTAAAAAAAATATATTTTATAAAATCATTCCGTGTAGAGTATCAAATGAAAAGGCTTTAATTTACGAATTTTGATGGCTTTACTTGTGATGTTGCTTAAAACACCCGTAAATTAATTTAATAAAAAAAATAAGTTCAAAAACTAAAACCCGACTACAGCTATCACGCTCTAAAAAGTTTGAAACAAGAAATGTATTTCATAGCGATAGATATATTATAATAGCGATGATCAAAGGACAGCATAGTCGTATGCCTCTGATTATAAAAAAACCTGTTGTCGTATTGGTGGAGCTTAGGGGATGCAGTGGTTAGCGCTTTCGACCAGCAATGCGGAAATAAAGCGGTCGGAGCGGCGAAAGTAAGGACCGATCATAGGACGTGTGACCAAATAATTATTATCTAGTGCTCCTTGTGCTTTGTAAGGCACGTTAAGCTGTTGGTCGTTAACACACAAGAATTCACACTGGGCCCGTGTGGCGGATCATGGAAGACTTGTGATATTGTGAAAGAAATTAAGCATCATGTTATTTTGATCGATTTCTACGATCTCAATTAAAATTGGTCTTAAAAGAAAGTTACTCTTTAATAATTATTCATTTTCACCAACCTAATAATATCCCCACTGCCGAATCTCAAGCCTTCCCTATGGAATCAAATGGAATAGGGAAAACGAGCCATGACTCACTAAGCCAGTCCAATGCGAATTGGTGGGTATTAACGATTTAATTTCAGAACCAATTCATGTGCTTTTCTACTTTGAAAAAAGCTTTTACAAGATTTCTGATTCAAAAAGAAAATTGTTATCTATATAATATGTTGTCTTATGTATCCCGGTCACTCACTTTGACGTGACTCCAGTTGTGAAAATAAATGGTAAATGGTAATCGCAAAAAATGCATACATAGTTTACTTCACGTGGCAGTGATAATGTTATCCATTTTGCGGATTTAAAAAGCTGGATTCTCTAACTCCATCACGGAATGGAACCTAACTCAAGTCTATTTTTGTTTGTCTTATTGCCTGTAGGTTAACGCTTACGTAAAACGTGACGCACCAGCACCAACTCAGCAGAACTACATTGAAGATGTTAAAAAACAATTCGAGGACATAAGCAAGTCAATCGGGCAACAGTTGCAACATGCCATCAACCCTGACGAGATTAAGAAGCATTTGAACGAATTCACAGAGAACGTTAACAAAGCGGTAAATATCTATTTCAAATACTAATTTAGTATTTCCTATAAAGATAATACATTTTGCAATCACAATTCTGTGTTGAGATTTCTATTATATAAGGCTCGGTAGTAGCGATATTAACGAATGCTTGAGAAATTCATCAGTCTATCTAAGTTTTGAAAGGTTTCGGGTAGCTCAATATTTAGAGCAGTCACTTGGATTGTAAAAGGGTACATCATCATCAACAGCCGAACGATACCCACTGCTAAGCTTAGGCCTCCTCCATTGATCTCCACAACGATCGGTCCTGCACTGCTCGCATCTAGCGGCTTACCTCTTCTTTACACTCAATGTGCGTCATTTGGTACGTGGTCGCCATTCTAGAAACTTTCCGCCTCAACAGCCATCGATTCTTCTAGTTGTGTTTCCGACTACTGCTACTTCAGCTGAGCAATTCTCCGAGCAACGTCAGTAACGTAAATAACGGTACTGACATAGCTCGAAGAATGCTATAACCCCTACCCCCTTTCTTCGTTCCTTGTAAGATCTCGTAGAGAAACACCAAGCATTGCTCTCTCCATTACCCGGTAGGTGACCTTGCGCTTTCTAATGAGACCCATAGTGAACGACCACGTCTTGCTTCCGTTAATCATCGCTGGAAACATACATTGGTCGAAGACTTTTGTCTTAAGACACTGAGGTATTTTGGACGCGCGTTTTTAGAAGCTTCCCTAACTTGCGAAAGGTTAATTAGGAGTTGTGAATTTCTAGATATTTTTGTACAAGATAAATAATGACATGGGTTTGAAACCCATTCCTGGTATCTGAAACTGGTGATTTTTTAGTTATTTTTTATACATGATAAAGTAGAGATTGAAACTTTTGGAAATGTATGGAACCGAAGGTATCCTTGATAAAATGTTTTTGCTCATTGCATGACGCAAATGAGGTTAGTAATAGAGTCAGTATTTCTAATGGCGCAACTGCTTGCACATTCAGTAAGGGAATACTAAATAGAGAATTTAATGGAGTTGTAGGTGATTTGCTTCGCGGAAACCTTCATTCTTCAATGAATCATCAAATGTTATAATGAGTTTTTGTCAGAAACCTATACTAATATTATAAAAAGGAAAGATTTTATTGTTTGTTTGTATTGTGCATCGAATAGGCGCTGAAACTACAAAATCGATTTTAAAAACTCTTTCACCACGCACAGCTAAATCATATGGGGTTGACATAGTCTAATTTTTATACCGGAAAATAGTCTAGTACGGATTGGTACAAAAGACTGCATCCGGGACCAAAGGCTTAATAAACGCAATGTGATGTAGAGGTGTTTAAGATAGTTCTTATACAATCTAAGCTAGGATACTTAGCTAATAGGTTCTAGCTTAGATAACTTAATATTTTTTGTTATATGTAATGTTAATATACAAATGTAATGGTAATGGATATTTAATTTTCTTTGCAGATTGATAGCTTTAAGACATCCAAGGCGCAATGATGTAACTTCAATTTGAAAATACTTCGTATAAACTAGTGTAAAATATTGATTTATTTAGATAAATATTAGAACACAAAGATGTATTTAAATTGAAATATATAGTTCCTTCAAATTTGTTATAATTTTTTATTTTGTGTTAATACTATTGATATTAAAAGAAACAAACTTGGAAAGAGTTTGATTTTCATTATAAAAATAAAACATATATCATCATAAAACACCACATAAATATCATAAAAAAATAATTTTGATCTACGCATTTTTTTATTCATAGTTTCTTTTTGGGGTTCCGTAGTAAACAAGGAACCCTTATAGTTTCGCCAGGTCCGTCTGTCCGTCCGTCTGCGGCTTAGCTCAAAAACTATTGTCACTAGAATGCTGTAATTTCGCATGAATATACGCAATAATCACGCCGATAAAGTGGTAAATTAATATTTGGTAAAAAAAATTAGGGTACATGTAAACTGGGAATGATATTTTTTTTCGTCTTCTCAATAGTGGATAGGTCTTTCAAAAACATTGGGGGTGTATGAAGGTCGTTTTTTAATTTTCGTTATAGTCAAGTATCCCCGCCTCTTCCAACTAAACGATCGTTTAGTATTCCTATTAGAGCTCGTGAGTTTCTTGCTCATTCTTCTTATCAGCTAAAAGACGTCATGAATTCGTTCAGGAAAAAAATGATGGACGATTCAAAAGTACTTTAAGAAGTATATTTGAATAAAGTCTATTTGAAAATTCAAACGTTACAGCAGTAAGTACCTATATATAATGAAGTTAGAGAAATTATATAAGACGGATATTAACGCGATAGATTTCGATAGTTCGGTTTTTCACCTACCTATATTTACGGAGGTTTCGACCAGGTTACACCGGCCGTGGTCACGGGCTGACTGTTTCTGCGATGCTACGTCTCATTTTCTGAAGTGGAATCCACTTCTACCGAAAAGTTTTTTCTCCAAGTACCGTCATACACAACACTAACGGAATCCCTATTCTGTATCGCAGCCGTATTCTGCTGGTCCAGCAACCGCGAATTTTTTTTTTATCACTGAATTCCACGTTGTTGATAATTTAAAACCATCTTCGCGACTGAATTTTTTTAATTTCAGTTGCCTCACGCACAATCCTCGAATAGAAATGATGAATAGAAAACCTAACTATCGCGTTAATACTCGTCCTATACAATCTAATACAACGCGAAAGTTAAAAAGTTTATATAAGTTAAATAAAAAACTATCACACTTAAGTTGACTTAACAATTTTACAAGTAAGAGTCGACGAATTCTATTAAACTCGAAAATTTCGAGCAACTCCTTAGAAAACAACAATCGTGATTTTGTTTTTACTTTTTAATGGATAATAGTACGGAACCCTTCGTGAGCGACTCCAACTCGCACTTAATAATCACGGCTATAATCAATTCTAAGTTTTGTCTTTAATTATAATTTGATAAAGACGAATTAGCAACATTTAGACGAGTTCCTTTATTACTAGTTAGAGAAGGAATAAATCGAAACTTAAGATGACATCATTGCCAACTTTTTATAGTCTGTCGTTAAGAGGATGCCTAAAATAAAGCGCGAATTTTGGAAACGAAGTGAAATAAAAACTTTAAACAAACTGTAAATTAGAAAACTAAACCATTTTCTATATGATGACTCAAAACTCCGAAGTCTAAAAATAAATTTGCAAGTCAAGACAAATCAAATCAAGACAAGACAAATTAAATTATCCCCATATATAACTTATTTAACTTTATTTTAAATTTAAATATATTATTTAATAATTCTTCGATTTGAATAAGATAATTTATAAGTATAAACTATTCCTCTAAGTTCTATCATATCAATACTTGGTATCTTACGTAAATGTCATCTTGTTATCTGAGGTTAAATTTCCTTAAGTTAAGAGTTGCGATTTCGAACATTATCTTTAAACGTATTTCTATTGTCTTCGCTATCTATAACTAATGTAATATTATAAAGAAGATAGTTTGATTGTCTGTTTATTTGCATTGAAAAGGCTCCGAAACTACTGAACCTATTTTAAAAATTCTTTCATCTACGGGAAACTACATTATATGCGGTGGAGATACGCAATAAGTATTTTATCCAAAAAACAGCAAATAAAGAGATGAAATTGGAGTGGACATTTGTATAGGTAATTAAATCTTTACCATAGTCCATATCTTAACCATAGTTCAATTGTTTTTGTAATTATGTCCGTGTCATAATAATTTTTAAATTAAATTCTAAGCCTAGTTAAATATATGGGCTACTTTACTTTTATTCCACTTAACAGTTCTCTAGAGACCGTTCTGGCGGAAAGCTAGTATAGGTAAGATAAAAACCTCTGTGATCGAGTGGTTCCTACGCCGATTTCAAGATGTCGCTTTTTCTGAAGCTTGAAGGTGAATATTTTGGTCTACGATGTGGAAGCTAAACTTCTCATTGGTTGGTCATATGATAGGTGGCCGAAAATATTGTATATTATCTCAAGGTCTTTGGTGCTACGGAAAGCATATCTTTAGTTTTGAACTTTATAGTCTTTGCTTTGATCAACGTTAACCAGCAGAGCCACAATCATTTATATTATGCTCCTTTATTTTACATTGGCATTGATTAATTTTGCTATTGTGTTTTTTTAATAAACAATATTATAATTTTTAATAAAAAAATGTGGGATTATTTCAATACCTAAGCACACGCTTTCGAGCATCGATATAGTTTTTTTTTACCTTTTTTAAAGACAAGTGAAAGTCTTTGTATGTGAATTACTAGTATTTATTAGACAATGGGATGGGGCAAGGGCACAACTCGTTATATCAACAGTTGGTCTAGTATATGTAAAATGTTTTCATTTTTGTTCACATCTACCAAAATTTGACGTTGATCATAGAATCATATAGAGGGCATATCTACATTAATCTTGTACCGTATCCATAATGATACACGCCACGCCAATCTCGTGATAGGTCACTGTTAGAGGCTGATTTGATAAATGTTTTATGTTGTTTCTGCTATAAATATTCATTTTTCATTTAACAGAATAACTGAGTTTGATGCAAACTAGATACGCGAATACTGCTATCGTTTATTAATTACATATTAGAATCATCATTACACAATAACATTAAAAAATAATTACCTTATTATTTTCCAATGTATTAAGTACAATACATTTATCATATACGATATCCTACACTCAATTAATAGAATTATTATAACGACATTTACAAAAACCATGTCATTACTCATTACCAAACAATATTAATTAATTATGTATAATAAATACACAAACCAATAATTAGAATAACAACAAACATCAAGTTTATTGTTTGTCATGTTTGTCGACGACAAAATTTCTGGAACTGTATCATTATCACTTAAAATGGTGCTAATTTGGTTTAATTTATTAATTATATAGGGAGACAATTTTTATGAAGAACTTCAATAATAATCTATGATTTTTATTTTACTCAAAAGTGATTTTATGTGTTTTTTTCTTAATTTCCAGTGTATGAATAAATAAATGCAATAATATGTTAGAATCATATACGATATTTAATAAATAAGTGATGTTTTACCTAAACATAAGGTAGAGAATAAAATTGAGACGCCTATTCAATGACCGTAGCTCACTTTTCGCTGTCAATAGAATTTTCTCTTTCTGCGGGGCTGACTTCGCCCCAGGCTTTAATATGCATGACGCCAGGTGGCCGATAAGCCAGTACAAGCTTGACCTGATCCTATTTGAGTGTCTGATACTCGAGCCGGCTCCGTCGAGGATTTTCTCAGATTTACGCGAGCCATTGTTGGCGACTCGCGATGCTTGGCTGATTTTTATTCTGTTACCTTCATATGTGATAATATATTTCTAT